GACTCACGGCAGCCCAGCTCCAGGTTGAGCTGTTGTTCAGCATCTTAGCTGTAGAGGGTAGTGTCACTGGCCCTCATATGTGGGATCCGAACCGGAGCCCTCTGGCATCCCAAGCCAGCTCCTAACCAACGCTCCACTCAGCCGGCCCATATAATCCCCTTTTTGAAAAAGTATGGCCAAGTAAGCCCAGTTTTCTTAAACAATTACTTTGTCCAGTTTTCCAGGTCTATATTCAGAAAAACAAATACAATTATGGGTAAAAGTTTAAAATGTTATTGTCTGTTTCTTTCCCTCCTCCGAAAAAAAAATTAACATAATGAAAGAGCAATGCTCCATTTCACTATGCGCCTCTTTCCTCTGGCCTCACTATGCTCCCTTCCCGCTGCCTCCTTGCAGTTCTTCAAACAAGCTATGCTTTTTTTCTTGCCTCAAAGTTTTCACACATATAATTTTTCTCCTGGAAGGCTCTTCTCACTGTTTGTCAGGCTTATTTCCCCATCTCTAAGGTCTCCGTTTAAATGCCATTTCTTCAGAGAGCGCCTCATTTTATACTCCCTTCTGCTATCCTTTATTTTTTCTTCATAGCATTTACCACAATTCATAATGTACAAATACCCACACAAATATGTATATAATGTCTCTCACTTTCTAGGCTGTAATCAAAAGCTCTCTGTTCCTTTTATCCAACACCTAGCAAGTGTCTAGCAGTGTTTTCCTTAACACTCAATTTTTTAAAAAATATTTGCATAAATAAATGTTTTGTAAATTTGACTTAAATGAAGAGCCAGGAAGCAACAATGAGCTTCCGTAGGACTTCATTATTTTGTGCCCAGCCACTCCACCTTCCTTCTCTCTACTGCTCCTTGCCGCCCATTTAAACCCTGACTAGTCATTGCAGTATTCCTACAGTGCAGAATCATGATTCAGTGGATGACTCATCATGACTCCATCAGGAGTCTAACTTTTACAGAATTTTCAACTGCCAGTCATCTTTCCTACAGCCTTAGGTGTCCCTCCCAGAGTACCCTGAGTAAGTATTCTTTAAAATCACAGATCTACATGTTCAACGGAACTGTCATCGTCCTGATATTTTCAGTACTTTGAAATAGTAGGAGACTCCTCTCATTGCCCAGCAGCTCACACAGAAATGATGACATCATGATTTTAGTCCTGTGGTGCTTGTACCCTACTATCATCTTTAGGCAGGCCTGCCTTGCAGTGTGACTGACAACCCGAGGTTCTCGGCCACAGATTTTAAGTGAAAAGGATATGAAAGATTCTAGGATAGGTAGGAAGGGGAAAAGAAAGGAAAGTGACATTTATTGAGTACATATTATGTGCCAGACACAAATACATACTCTCATTCAGTCCTCACAACAACCCTGTGAGGTAAGTATTATCCCCATTTTATCTCTTTTCTGCCAATGTAGATTGTCTCTTGAATTTTTCTATTGATGCTAACTTCCATTTATTTACTTTTAGCCTCCCTATTGTAAAGATGTTAGCAGCTGTATACTAGAAAAGCCCACTTTCACTCAGTGAATATTAACTGAATGAAATAAGTTTCACAGTACATCAGTGGATGATTGAAAATCAGAAGGTACCATCCTGCTGTCTCAGATGACATCCTTTTCTAGCCCTTGTTAAAGACCTTCTGGCCTACTAAGCATTCTTGCTAGGTTTCCACATTCCCTATTGTTAAACACACAGTATATTCACCATGAGCCTAAGTGACTCTCTAGGCTCAGATTCCTCAGTCTTACAGGGACCAGGAAGCTGGCCTGATGAACAACACATGCTAAATGTTCCTAATCATAAAATGACCCCTCCAGCTTCTCGTTAAAAGTAATACCACCAGGGTTCACCTGTCTTAGAATTAGGTAAAAGGGGACTATCTTTCTCTTACCTATACTCAGGGGAAACTCAGACGTTTTCCTTCATGGTTCTCCTCCAGCCCTGCGTGAAGGAGCCAGGACTGAGGAACTTTACGTCCTTCCTCCACCTTCTCTTTGAAGGATGACCTTGGTCCACATCTACACCCCTGAGCAAATAGAACCTTTAATTTTCTCATCAAGTCCTTTATTGGCTTTCTAGTCCCTCATTTGATTCTAATTTCTGTGGACCTTATAATAGTCTAGATAAAAGCATCCTTCGGGAGGAAACTAGCCTATGTTGGGGGTGACCAGCATATTTGGGCCATGCCCCACACACACTGCAGATTTCTAAAACCTCCTGTGCAGTGGCACTGGCTACCACTTCTACCCTGGGTCTTCAGGATTGAGAGAGCAGAAATGAAATTGTATTTCTCAGTCTCAAGGGTATATAGTGTGTAGAGTCTCGCCCAGCATCATTTCATTTAGGGAAATGTGGGGGGGAGATCCAGGATCCATGTCCTGTTTCTTTCTTTATGTTCCACTAGAGAGTCCATCCTCTGTTCTTAGAAGAATTGGTTCCAGGAGTATATGATCACCCATGAATGCTGCTTGCCCTGGGATCTTCAAAGGAAGCTGTGGCTGTAGGACAGGCTGTCCACGCTGATGCCTGCCACAGCTGCGTACAGTTCAGGCACCACCAGTTCCGGTACCTGCAACACCGCCTCGTCGTCCGCAGTTTGAGCAGCAGCTTCTAGGCGCGAGCGTAGCTCTCTCAGCGAAGGGCGGCTGTCCTCGCTCCAGCGCCAGCAGGACTTCATAAGACCATACCTGCAAGGGAAACGAGAGAAGCTCACTTCCTTGACCAGGCAAGTGTACGAGAAATATGCCTCCTCTCCTAACAAAGCTGAACAAAAAACCCCTGAAGTTCTTTAATTTATTCTCATTGTCCTGTCTCTCGTATTCTTCCCAGAGATTAATATTCATCTCATCCTCTTAATACTTAGCCTCTTAAAATCATCTTCTCAACAGCGCCCTTTTAATAATAGGAATGACTGAAGATTTCTCAAGGTACAGTCAGTATGGCAGAACAGTTTGGGTTTTTTCCCCCCTTTCTATTGCCAACTGCCCTTTCAGAAGTTAAGTCTTCTCATCTTTCAATGTTACTAATGCAGAATTCCAGACCATTGCTACAATTTATGTACCAGTAAAAGCTACATTATAGCCAGGAAAATAAGAAGTTATAGAATAATATGGTTCACACTAATTTTTAGGTGTTTCCTTCCGTTAATCCAGGTCATTTCCCCCTTTATAATTTAGCTTCTTCAGGAAGTTGCCTTCATCTAGATAAAAGTACTTTAATCTGTCTTTTCTTCAATCCAGTTTAGAGAATGTATAATGCTGTCTGTTTTCAAATACTTTTATCACGTCCCATCCCTGCTCAAGAACCTACAGTGGTTTTCCACTGCCTACCACATGAAGTTGGCATCCTACCCCAGCTTTCTCCCACACAGGCCGGGCCTCGCTGAAGCCCAGTGTCTTGCTATGTCCTAGATGTGGTATTAACACCCAGCTCTGCCTTTGCTCATGCTATGCCCACGTCCTTGAACTCTTCTCCATGGTCATCATTCCCTGTGGGTTTGTTTTAAATCTCAATTTCTCTGTGAAACCTTCTCTTATAAACCTCAGCCTACCCAGTGTTTCCCACACTCATTAACATTGTACCATGAGACTGTGAAGGATGCTACTTTTATACTACTAGCATTTATCAAGAACTAATAAAGCATGGAAATGGAATTTAACATACATTATTTCATTTCAGCCTCACAATAACTGAGATAGGATTATCATTTTACCTATTTTAAGGTAAGTAAACAGTGTATAGTGAAATAGTAGGACTAGGACTGAGCATGTGTCTTTTTTACTCTGAGATGAATCTGAGCTTTTAACCATTTTACTTATTGCCTAACACTTTATGTTGATTTTCATGTTGTTGCAGATAGCTCCTCATCCAATGTTAAGTGCTTCAAGATCAGGTACTTTATCAGTTAAGTGTCTCCCCCCCCAGTATCAAGGACAGCCTTTTACACATAGAAAGTTTACAAGAAATATTTTTCAGCAATTTCGTTCTGGTGTACCCAGCCAGTATCATTATACTATGTGTGTGTGAGTGTGTGTGTGTGCGTATTTATAGTTATGATAGTTAACATTTATAATCTGCTTAATATGGTAAATGTTTATTATAGGGAAATCCAGGTACTGGAAATTTGCCCTTTTGATGATGAAAACTTTACAATTTTAATGAAAATATATATTAATATATTATATTCTCTCCTGCTGTCTTATAAATAATCTAACCGTTTCTTACATTCTATAACCATCCCTATTTGTATTTTATTGGTTATAAAATTCTGTGTGTGATTTTTTATTTTTCCATTTTTTGCCTCTACATTGGTTCACCAGCTGTCCCTTTCTGCTGACAATATTGGATCCTCCTTCTCCTGTCTTTCTAATTTCTTCCTAGCACCCTTCTGGTTGGCTTCTAGTGTGCTCAGAGTTGGGAAAACAGATCAATAATTTTTAAAAGTTAAGTATTAAATAAGAGCCAGTGTCGGGCCGGCCTAGTGGCGCATTGGTTAAGAGCTGGCTTGGGACGCCAGCTCTGAGCAGCAGGGCCCCAGTTCAGATCCCACATGAGGGCCAGTGATGCTGCGCCCTCTACAGCTAAGATGCTGAACAACAACTCCACCTGGGGCTGGGCTGCCACGAGTTGCTGGCGATGGCCTAGGCTGCAGTGGGGCTGCAGTGTGCTGCCATGCTACCGTGAGTGGCCGGCAGCCAGCGTGAGCTGCCGTGAGCCGCTGTGAGCAGCTGTCCAGTGGCTGGTGTGCGACTGTCTCACCCAGGAAGAGTACAATGATAATACCAACACGGGCCAGTGAAGCCACGTTCTCCACAACTAGACTGAAGAACAAAAGGACAGCAACTTGTCTGTTCCCCTTCCCCGATTCCCCAACGCTGTTCCCCTCCCCCAATTCCCCAATTAAATAAATAAATAAATAAATAAATAAATAAATAAATAAATAAATAAATAAGAGCCAGTTAGTAACTCTACTGCGGTGGATTTTATGGCAACTGTATTAGAACTGAGGCTGCAGTCTCTGACTGAGACTGACATTTCGACAAATGAAGCACTACTGTACCTACAGTGGATTTGGTCTACTTCTTACCTATGAAGCTTCTGGAGGAACTTTATGAAATTTAGATTCCTAATATAGTTGCCTCAACATTGTGTGTGTGTGTGTGTGTGTGTACACATATACGTATGCTGTATGTGTATATATGATGGATGAGCAGATGTGTCTTACTGCATAGGTTTGGTCTAGGGATGTACATTAGAACAGAAAGGACAGCTGGGGATCCTCTGAGACACTTTGAAAAGGGCATGATTCATAGGCAGCAAAAAGTACTTTGAATGAGAGACAAGTAGGCCTTAAAAGCCACTTACATGGTGTGTGTGCAGCTACTGGGTCTCTTCATGATCTTCCTTCTTTGGAGATGCTGTAGAATGCTGAGAGGAGGGACTTCAGGATATGGCGGTGCCCCTGTTGGTATGGAAAGAATGAGAGTGCAAGAGCGCTTTAGGTCCTGTAGAACATCAACTATATCAATGCTGTTCTCCATCCACCTGGGCTAATTGGCTACAAAAAGTAAATAAATATAACGCCATAGGAAAAATACTAGATACTATATAGTTGTTCCCTAGTGATCAAGATACAACTTAGAGAATTTGGGGGGAGAAGGGTTTTTGGGGGGGGGAAAACTGATAATTTAGGAGAATATTGAGTCTTCAGGAAAGTAACAAAGTAAAGCAAAGTGAGTAACACCTGCCCTCCCTCCCCAAATGTGGGAAGGTTCTATAGTTTCTCAGTCAAATGGATTTGTAAATCTGAAGACAACATTTTTATATTTGCTATGCAAGATCACTCTTGGAATTATCCTTTGGATTTCAAAACATCCCTTGGAATTGGTCAAGTGTTGAGGAAAAGAAAGCAAAAGAAAGTTAAAAGGTGGAGAAGGATTTCATGTCAGCCCAGCTCAAACCTCTGAGATCATACTAAAACCTCTGCTCATAGCATATATCATCCATGACCCAAATAAACATACAGGAACATACCTAGAGTCACCATCTCATAAAGCAGGATCCCAAAGGACCAGCTATAAAAGAAACAAAGTCATTTACTTAATTTCAATTTCTGCCTTTCCTGAAGAGAGCTCACTTAAATATCAGAGGCCTTCAGTAAGAACTTAAGACAGTGAAGGAACACAGAAGGTGTCTGATAAAATAAGCCAAATAACGGTGTCATGAGAAAGCATTTCTATCCAATCCCCTTAGAGTCTAATCTCTCTGAGGACTGGATTTATGTCTCCTTTCTTCTATATTTCATTTTAATAGATGTTTACTATTATTGGCTAAATTGTATGCATGTGTTTATGCAAACACACAAACACATTCATCCAAACATAATGAAATTCCCCTCTGCTTATTTTTCATTCTTGCTATTCCTTCCTGCTGAAATTCCAGCCTTTATTCTTAGCACAAAGCCAATTGAGGTTTATCATTTATCTACTATTTCCTCAGTGGATCTAGTTGTCCAAACCTAGGGAAAATATTAACAGAATAAGCCTTGGACATAATTGGAATAGGTATTTGCATAAGCAGTATGATTTAAGAGATTTTTTTGTATATTTCTCTATAATATCATCGTTAAATAAGCAGTATTTCCCAGTTACGCTTATTACTCCCAGATCTCTATTGAAAAGCAGATGTTAGTGAAGCAACAATGGAAGTCTTTTAATTGACTCACCGTATTAACCAATGTTCTAAATTTCATCTGCTGCTCATGACATTCATGGCTAGTAAGATCATCTATGTTACACCTACGTACTTCTCCAATCAGTTGAGATATATGATTACCAAAAGTCAGTTGTGATTCTTTACAGTCCTGTTTATGATGATCATACATGTAAATGTAATTATGTAACCAATTAATTATTATGCAAGCTGATTATATATAAATGCAACCAAGTATTAGCTCCATGAAAAGTAGGTTGAATGCTTTGAAAATATTCTATAAAAATAAGCTACTAAAAAGAAAGTGTTCAAATTGGGTGGGTGAGACAACTGTAAAAAATAAAAATAAATGTCTGCAGTCAATTGCTTCACAATTGTTTTCAAGTTTCTCACACTACTTAGAATCATCCCAAACTGAAACTCAAAAATAATTCATTATGGATACTGTTTATATAAGAAACAACATGTAACTCCATTTAGCAGGTCCATTCTCATTAAAAAGGCCTTGGCTTGCCTCTAAAAAGATTGATAAATAAGTGTCTATTTGTATGTTTTAAGTTAAATGATTCGAAGTATGTATACTTCTTTTTATTTTAATAATTCCTGGTTTTACTGAACTTTTGATTAAATGGGACCCATCTCCTTCAATTAAAGGTACTCTATTAGATTAGGTCCTTGGATTGGAGTGTGAGTAATCTTTTCACTTTTCTTGTTTTCCTAATTAAGGCTGCTAATCTAATACAGAAGGAATACTTCAAAAGACACTAAACGGGATTGCAGCCAGATGCCAAATATGAGCTCTGTCACATAATACACAATTCTGCTTGAGAGTCTGTCTGACTTCTAAGTAGAGATTTCACTTGCAGACATAAGTGACACCAGACACAGTCATGGTCAGAGACCAGAGGACACCTAGGGCAAAAGGGAAGAAATGCAAAGCGCAGGAACAAACCGTACACGTCTCCTCTGATGCCAGCTGGTCTCAGCAGAAGCCGTTCTGGGGCGAGCCACTTGAGAGGTACAGTGCGAGTCGAGGAGATGGCCCCTTGGGTATGGACTTCATAAGCCAGGCCCAGTCCACAGAGTTTAGCAGTAAGATCACACTGGATCAGAATATTCCTGGCTGCCACATCACCATGGAACAGATGCTTACCCTGGAGAAATTCCTGTCAACATAAGATCAAAGATAGATCAGCTGTCTGAGGTCATGGTTTGGGTCACACACAAGGAGAAACAGTCCTAGAAATCCTCGAAAAGACAAGGAACATTTGCTACTCCAAAGAAGTCTCATTTATAATGACTTCCAAGTCATGACAATGAATAAGGTATTTTGTGTTGTGATTATCAAACTGACATTAATACTGGGTTTGGAAAGTATAATCACTCACTGTATGTCAAGCTCTAACCTCTGCCTGATTTTGCCTTCCTCTCAGATAGGACCCAGAGACACTGGAAAAATGGAGTAGGTCTCAAGTTTCTAGGAGGAGTCCCCCAAACAAGGTAATATATAAAAAGAAAAAGTCAGTGTCATAAGTGGGATCAGTGCATCCCAATGGGGCACTTCTGCAATTACGGTTCAGAATACAAGGTAGGCTATAGACTGACACTCTAACTTTATCAAGGGAACATACCAGCTAGGCCCTCCAGACACCATAGATAGTATTGATTTATGTGGTGTGCTCTCGTCCTAGCCCATGGGAGCTTCAGCTGTAACTACTCCTCTTTTCTTGCCTCACTACTTCTTTTTTCCTCAATCTTGCCCTGATTCCATTTAGATCCCTGGTATATTTCACACCTTCAGGTGACACACTATATCAAGTGCTTAAAGTCGTAGCTTTACGGAGCCCTGATTTTCTATGGCAAGTGCTATCTTAAACACAATTATCTAAATAATTTCATAGACATAGTCATCTAAATTTCCTGAGTACTTCTAGTAAAGGCAAATGTTTTCTCTTAAACCCTGAGCTCTTTCTCTTGCCTCTTTATTTAAGGTGGTTTAAAATTAAGGAATGGTGTCACGGTTACCCTTTCTTATTCCTCCTCTTCCACCTGTTTCTCATTCTTTTTAAAGTAGATGTATTTCCTATCACATTCAGTATCAAAGAAAGTCTCCAACCAAACATGTTCTGAACTAGTATTTCTTGTTTTTCAGGTACAAAACTGTATCCTTACTTCTGGCGCGGTAGCCTTTTACCCATTTATCTTCCCATCTCTTCTTTGAACTTGCGTCCCTATTTGCCCCTTTTGCATCCATTAATATTAGTATATATGGGTAAACAAGAGTATCAAGCAAATGGACAGATAGCTCTTGACCTTGGTTTTTGACCTTTAAGACTAAGAAACCTTTTCAAACCCATCCTGTTCCTTCTAAAAACCCTAAGTTGACTACTTTCTGCCTCGAATTACCAATCCTATAGTACATTATCTAAATGATTTCATAAAGTCTTGAAAATAATTTATCAATGCTTGAGTGTCTGCCCCCTAACTTCCATTTGATTTTCTTTATAATATAGACCTCATTTGGGAATATAAATATGAGAACTATGACATCAAGTATACCAGGCTAACACGAAAAATCCCTACCATCTATCGTCATTTTGCCCAGCTTACCAAAGCCAAGAGGACCTGCTTCCCAATGTGATATACTTGTTTTTCTGAGAGATCATAGAGAAGACCTTCCATGGTCATCACATCCTGAAGAGACAGAGAAGAAAGCATTATAGCCAAATGACATGAACAGATTTGAAATATATATATATGGGCCAATATCAAATCTAAGGAAAAGATACAAAAACATAGGAGCTATAAGATTCAAGGAGAGACTCATCCAAGAGATTTCAGACATACAGAGAAGTACAGTGACTTACTGGGCTGGAGAAAAAATAAAGAATGTAGATGAATAGCAGAATGCAGGAAGAACAGAATAACAGGTAAGAAAGACAAGTATATGTAAGACTATCTATTGGTATGTATAAGACTATTCACTAGATAAAGCATCAGCTTTCCTGGGGTAGAATGTGTGTGTGTGATTAATTAAGCACAGTAACTTAACACATCTTTATTGAATGTCTACTATGTGCCATATTCCATCTTAGGAACTCAGAATATAAGAGTTAGCAAAATAAACATGTCTTCTGCTTTCTGGAGTTTATAGTATGACAAACACGCATGAATCAGAATTGAATAATCATATGTAAATATATAGTTACATATCTGCAAGTGCCATGAAAGACATGTAAAAGAGAGTATATGATGGTGGGAAAAAGAGAGCTGATTCAGTTGGAGAAGCAAGGAAAGCTTTTGATGAGATCTGAAGGATGAGTGGGAATTGACTATACGAAGAGCAGAAGGGAGAAGTTTGGTGTAATGAGAAAAGTATGTAAAGATGATCTAAAATCATCTATAGAAGCATAATAATTTAGAAACTAGAAACTAGTGAGGTTAGAGCACAGAACAAGTTACAGATGGATAACCTCTTTAAAAAGTTGGAAATGCCTAAAGACTTTCACGTTGTCCTATTTGCATCACTGGATGGAAGACATAACCAGGTGCCTTTTCCATTCACATTTAGTAGTAAAATAATCAGCATATTAAGGAGACTTGATTAATATTGAACTTGACCATTGGCAAGTGGAGAACTAACTAGGGAAACATGTAGCACTTCAGAATGAGAAATGTATAGAGAAGTAGGGAAATTGTAAGGAAAGGGATTTGCACTTTAGTCTGGAAATTAATTTTTTTTAATGTGAGTTTGAGGTACAAAAACTTAAAAGCTGAATGTCACCTCAAGTCAGCCCTGGTATACTACAGTGATAGTACAGAACGGAAGGCACACTTAACACTAACAAAACAGAATTACCATTAGTACTAACAATAGTTTTGTTGCTGTGTAATTATTATTATAACAGCTATCATTTTGAGTGCTTGCTATGTACCAATCACTGCTAGTCTTTACGTACATAATTTCTTTTCATGTTAATAATAATTTATTCTTACTCTAATTTTACAGATTCAGAAAATTTGGGCTCAGAGAGGTAATTTACCCAAAGTCACATAACTAGTAAGTGGTGGAGCCTAAAGTCCATGCTCTAAATCTGTACTGCCCAATATGGTAGCCATTAGACACCTGTGGCTATTTAAATGTGCATTATTGAAAATGATATAAAAATAAAGCTTCAGTTTCTCAGTCATGTCAGCCACATTTCAAGTGCTCTGTAGCCACATGTGATTGGTGGCATCATATTGGACAGAGCAGATAGAGAACATTGCTGTCATCGTAAAGAATTCTACAGGATGGTGGTAGTCACGGTTATGTTATTAGAATGACTCTCTACTTTGTCATTTGTCAGGCTAGTTGACATTTGAACAGCTAATGAGCCAGGTCAGGCCTTTCTTTCTTAACACCTCTACCGTACTGCTCACCCGGCGACAGGTCCAGAGAAAGCTGAGCAGGTCCCCCTGGGCCACATCCTCCAACACCATATAGAGCGGCAGCCCTTCTGTGCAGCAGCCTTCCAGCTGTACCAGGTTCTGGTGTGTCCCCAGGTACTGATGGAACTGGATTCGCCCTAAGAAATCCTGAATCTCGCGGAGCCCAGCTGGTTCTGTGGAGAACAGAAGAGCCATGGGCAACAAACAGAGAGAGCATCACTGATAAGATGAGGTATGAGGCAGGAAGCCACCTCAGATAAGATGAGGCGTGTGGCAGGAAGCCACCTCAGGTGGTAATTCTCAAGGCTCTACAGAGGAATGAACAGGGAGAAAAAGTAAATAGAAAGGGAACCCATTAAAAGATGATCCTTACTGGCCTTTTGTCAAAAGTAACATAGAACCATAGGCCTTAGATCTGAGTAGGCTTTCATCTGCCTACATAGGCATGTGTTCTGTTCACACTAAAAATTATCTGGACTAGGCCTTTTGATTAATATCCTTACTTATCCTATACTTGTTCTATATGCATCTACCATTATTGGCCCACATCATGAGTATCAACAAAGGAGAGAGAGAGAGAGAGAGAGAGAGAGAGAGAGAGAGAGAGAGAGAGAGAGAGAGAGAGAGAGAGAG